CCTATAGGGATCTCAACTGAAATAGCCACATTGAAGACCTTTTGATGGCAGTTCCCAGCCATGCCCATTTCAAGACCTAAAACTCCCTGGTGCCTGAGATATACGTCCGCAAGGTCCTAAAAGGTTTATTGGGAGACTACTTCAGCCACCTTGGCATTGATGTCGCTAAAGAAACCTCATACGACTGCCGTTATATTACAGGCTGTTTTCTGCTTATGTTCAAACTGCGTCGCCGCTGATACATTGGCAATAGCGATGATGTGGCACGTGTGATACAACCCGTGGAAACAACTCGTTGCCCGATAGAAATTAAGTCACTTATATATTTGGGTAGCATCTTCATCACGTATTCGATTCCACTTTCAGGACCAAAGATCTATGGAGATCATGCCATAGCTTGTAGCTGACGCCGAGTACTTGGCTAGGCCTATCTTCAATACTCGATGCGAGTAGACGGGAACATTTGACTTGCAGGTGACGACCTCATTATATACGATCAAAGGCTGGGTGATTACCGATGTTCATGTTGTATAACGCACCATTACGGTTGGCATTTCGCTCCCAACCATGTTCTGACAGCTCTAAACAAACGTAATGTAATGGCTGGCGCTCTGAAAGCGTGGGTAAATGCCTTGAGATTACAAAAACCATCAACACTAATGAGATGTATGTCACACGCTGCTAAATAGTCGAAATGAAGTGAAAGGGACACTGTTGTAAACTTTCGATCTCTTCGTTCAAATGACCTCAGACCCCATCCACCATACCTAAAAACCGTGATGTCAAAGCTATCAAACCATTTGTTAGAATAACGCGTGCAACGGCTTTCAACAATGCAAGAAAGTTAGCTCAGCGCTCAATGGAGAGACACTTCACCAAAACGTTGAGCCTATGTTCTCACGTTGAACTCTGTATAATGTTCGCCCCGAAAGTTTCATCTTACATATCTCAAAAAGCTGACACTCGAGCACACGAGCGAGCAGCCCGGGAGACGGAGTCATTGACACACCGGGGTGATGAAAATCGCTCTCACGCGCACAGGTGACAAAGTGCCTTTTCCGTCAGCGAACAAATTTCAAACCGTCTAATTGTCACCTCGCGGCCAAATTTGTCAGAAAACCATTGTTATAGAACTCTAAATGCAATAAATCACAATACATAGACAAACGTAATGCAATGCGGCATACTCAACCATTTTTGTTTCGGTGGTTTATTTGCACTTACGTAAAATCTGCTGGCCTTCAAGCACTGAATGACGGCTAAGAGTTACATAAAACACTTGTCAAAAAGGCATGCTGAACATAACCAGCTTGAAGGAGTGTAGTTTCTTATTCAGCTGGAGGGAGTGAATTGTGCCTCCTGATCATGCATGTTGTTTCTTCTTGTTATTAATCATTTGAAACCTTGTTTTTCATTCCTCATCATATTTAGGACTTAGCCCACAAAAGCAATTTGAAGACACTACACTCCACATCCCGAATGGAAAAAGGCGCGTGAGATGTGCGGAGAAAACTGTTTTCAGTGTATTTTTGGAAGCATGCTGAGCAATTTTGTCTTGTGCCTCCCCCATCCTCCGTCCTTCATCCCCACGTATTTTGCAAAAATTCATCCCTGCAGCTCTGCATTTACCGACAGTTTGGTTCTACAAGCACCTAACAACAATATCACCCTTGGTTTGTGACGTCATCCAGCAATCAACTCAGCACGCAGGCAACCTACCTTATCTTCGTTTAAGCACTACCGGTGCAGAATTCAAACTTCATAAAATGATCCGAATCATTTAGACCAAAACCCGTGCAAAATTGGTGTCAATTGGTGCGAACGACATTTTTTAACACCTCCGCCACCTTCATTCATCTTTATATGCAATGTCATGAACATAAGAGCGTTTCATCTAACGTCTGTGCACCGATCAGTACGCTAAGCCTGACGTGCTACAAGTAATGTGAGAGGCTCACGCTGCTCACGCTGCAATTGTTAACGGGCACAGACCAATAATGAGCTTTGGGTTCGTTCAGCTGGGATAGGAACTTGTAACATTGTCTGGTCTACTGAAATCTGCTTGTATTTTTGCAAAGTTGCTACCAATTGGCTCGCAAAAGTGTCTGTCAGCTTTTGTCAGCGATCATATCCGGTAAATGAGAAGATTTTTAAGCCCTGCATCCGGGCACAAAAGCGTATGTTAGTGTCAGACGCCATCCAATTTGAACTCGACGTAAGATGACTACTGTAGTAGTGAGGAGCCTATTGGTGAACATACAAGCCATATGATGTTAGGCAACGACTCGGCGTAAGCCTACGACTCGATACGACGTAGCGATCTAACCGAACTAACATAACGTGACGAAACGCACCTAAACCAATCTAACCTAACCTAACCAAACTTAACCTAACCTAACCTAACCTAACCTAACCTAACCTAACCTAACCTAACCTAACCTAACCGTAACTAACCTAACTAACCTAACTTAACCTAACTTAACCTAACCTAACCCAACCTATCCTAACCTAACCTAACCTGGCCTAACTTGGCCTAACCGAACCTAATCAAGATAGTAGTAATAGCCTTACTCCTCGGGGAAAAACCAGGAGAACCAAAAATTGCGAAAATGAAAGCAACCCACAAAATTGCCATCTTACAACAAGTCATCTAAGTTAGTTGAAGCTTAAAGGGAATGTTCCACTTTCCTATAGGGATCTCAACTGAAATAGCCATGTTGAGGACCTTTTGATGCAGTTCACAGCCATGCCCATTTTAATACTCAAAACTCCCTGGTGCCTGAGATATACGTCCGCAAAGGTCCTAAAAGGTTTATTGGGAGACTACTTCAGCCACCTTGGCATTGATGTCGCTAAAGAAACCTCATACGACTGCCGTTATATTACGGGCTGTTTTCTGCTTATGTTCAAACAGGCATGGCCGCTGATACATTGGCAATAGCGATGATGTGGCACGTATGATACAACCCGTGGAAAGTGATTTCGCCCCTGAATGCATGTCGCAAACGTAAGCGTGACCACTTTCAGGTTGTGAGGCACCTGTCGCCAACGTGGCCAACATAACGGCAGCTGGAAATTGGAGGGGTACCTACTCCTTTGAACCAGTAGTTACACAGACGGAAACAGTGGTCTTATTCCTACAAAATCGTTGTCACAGTGAAACTGACACAACCATCTGACATACCAAACTGAACATTCAAAGCACTGGTCACACAGGCCTACTTCAACAGTTCTGTCCATAATGCAAATTCAGTCATCTTCTGATAATACAAATAGTTTGCTGTTACTATAAGAAAATAACTTATGCTTATCTGACTAACTCGTTAGCCGCTATTTGTGAATGTTTCAGCAGCCTGGTAAGAAAAAAATGCGAAGGCTCCTTACACATTCCCCGTAGGTACGGAAATACGCTATTGACGACAAGCATCGCTGGAAAAACGTCAATATTGCGTCAGATGTGAGCCATTGTCAAATCTTCCCAGCGATATCACCTGTTTTGATAATTGTATAAAGCCATTTAAGTGTTCTTGAGTCCAGTGGAAATTGGAAGAATCTAGCCGCGCCACATTTGAGGCATGCTTTAGATCTGGCTGTCAGATGCTGCCAGATATGGCTGTCGTAAGAACATGATTCCATGAAGCTATCAAACGATGAAATAATGGGGCGCAATTTTTACCAACAGCGAATCGGCCGACCGGCCGGCTCATACAAAATAAATTGATTTTTCGCCGACCTGTCCCCAAGCCGGCGGACCAAATAAAATCACAGAATGGTTTTGTCGCCGGGTTATAATAAAATCTAAAAGAGATACCCTGGTGTCGTAGAGTACGGTAAACAGTCTACGGAAACGTTTGCTGGTATCTGACAACACGCTTTTCTATCGAGGCATAACATGGCAATGTCCTGTTATGTTTTGCAGACTGTGCTATACTATTTCGTTTCGGCTGGCACCAAAACTTGCTGTCCGAAAAGTGTTTGGCACCAAGCTTTGTGTCTGTATAAATATTGTTGCCGCCGATCCTATGCAGCAAGTTGGTAGGTTTTACCGCACTTGCCAGTGAGTGCCATGCCGTTGATGTCAGATCTTGAACATGGGGTGTGTTCTGGCTTTGTGTATGTTCGGACGATTTCCGCCTATGCTTTCATCAAATGACGCTGCGGTTTGGTGTCAGGGTAACTTACATTTGCATTAAACTTACATGCGATGCGATCCCTCACTATGACGTTTCGAAATTAATATAGAAAGAGCCCGGCAGAAAACACATATCGAATTTGAATCAGTTCGTGTTTTCAAAGTGGTATCAGCACGATCTCACGGATGGCGAGTAGTTTATGTCTCTGGGTGAAAAATGTATCCAGAGTCAGCTTTTCCAATCACTTAAACGCTTTTAGTTTTTCATGTTCATCGCATCGAAACATTTGAATTCCAATGTTCAGAATTACGTCACCAAGAAGTCAAATCTTTTATAAATCTGACCGTCGTGAGAAACACGTGGTTAGCCATAAACGTTTGTAGGCTTTGTACATATGTGGTGAAATGCTCATCTATGTAAACAGGATGAGCCTCAGTAGATGTAAACCTGCCCTGAGAAAGCAATCCAAGCCGCACATAGACGATGACGAGCATCGACACGTTTCCAACTGAATTCAGGCTGGGAAGCCGCTCAGCCGTAGACAAAGTTTGTGTGCTACCAGGCGTACAACTATCTCTGTTGTTTTGGTGTGCCTTGCAAAATCTCGGGAACTTCCCAAAACCATCAGAAACCACTTCCCTATATTGCGAGTGCATCGCAAATAACCTCGCCTGACGGTGCACTGCCAGGTACTTGGAAAGTCCTGCCACAAGAGCTGGCTGCAGAACGACCAGCAGTTCCTCAGTGAGCTCCTGGAATCCACCGCAAAATTTTCCACAGAAAGGCATGCCGACTCGGTCGCCACCGTCGCCACTCGGTCGGCATTGTGCACGTGCTTGCACCGGCTCTAGACCGGCTCGCCTGTATATAAATCCGGTGCACACCGAAGAGGGACGAGCAGTCGCAGCAGTGCAATCACTCAGCCAGGTAAGGTGCTTCAGCCCAGACCGGCTTGGCTACCGGTACTGTGGGAAGGACTGGAAATACGGTAGTTTGGGGTGTCATCATTAGTGGTGGGAACGAGCTTGCCGAGCAAGGGCGGCAGAAGACGGACATTTGGTCAGAATGTCAAACAGCAATTTGCTAGTTGGATGAGACGCTCAGATTCAAAGTGGTTTGCAACCTGCCGGACGGTGAAAAGTTAAACTCGAAGTTCCTGACAGCTTCAAAACGGGACTAGTTTCCAGGAGAAAAACTACTACTTGAGCGGTTACTCCAAAGAGGGCGGTGGGGAGACAATTGTCTGAAATGAGCTTGGCAAGTACAGGTCAAATTTATTGACAAATATGCCTCTTAAAACTTACTTGTTTTGGACCGCATGGGCCCACCGAAAGTATATCAATAGTTCTGAGCATTTTTCTCCATATTATGCTCGCCTCAATATATTTAAATGTGGAACATTTCGTTTTATAGGAGTGGGTGCTCGTAGTCTTCCTAAAAGTAACTAGCCACGGATGAGGATGCGCTTTACCAGCATTGCCCTATTTCATGTCCTAGAGCCCGCGAGCTAAATGGTCGCCAACGGGCATGTGAGAGCACCGTCATCGCTTCAGGTTAGCAGCAGTTTGTTCGTGGTTTGACCGGTGATTTGTGTTGCGACAGCCATGAAGGTCGTCGCTCTCCTCCTTGTGGTCTGCGTCTCCGTGGGCTGGGCGAAGCCTCTCTGCTTCGGCGGCGTCTGCATTCCTACCAGCGAAGCTGCTGGGGGTGCCACGGGCGAGGTCACCAGTGGTACAAACATTGGCCCTGGTGGTGTCACTAAGGTTTCGTCCGTCGGCGCCTCTGCAGGGGTAAGAACGCGCAAAAACTGAGCCGTCAAACGAGCACGTCTGGCAAAGATGGGCTGAATTGATGGACTGAGTCTTTGTGTTCCGGTAACTAGATTAAAACCCCGCCTTGGTTTACATAGCCAGGCTAGCAAACATAACATGCGTTCTCACAGCCTGCATGCATGAGCGTTACGTTCGACTAGATTACTTCGGAATCTCGCGTCACAGTAGTGCAACGTAAACATGCTTTGGTAATTGAGTAAGATCAAAGCAAGCTGCGCACATTTGGCAGGACCATTTACCTCGCTGCCTCGTGTGGTAAAACATGAGTATTCAGTGCAACCTTGCACCACCGCGGGGCGTGTCTTCTCCTTCGCTCGGAACAGCGTGGCAAGCGTGCAATGCACAGCCAGTGCATGGCACAAACGTGTGGTGCTCTTGTTTGAATGTCTTTTTTTGCAGGGAACGGCCAGAGGACCATGTGCATCCAGCTTCAATATCGGAAAAGCCAATAAGTTTAGTTCACAGACCATCTTTGGCAATACGGATGACGCCAACACGGATGCCGTCTCAATCCAAGAAACCGACTGCTGAATGACTCAGCCACAGTCATCTCGGCATGCGCCGCAATGGCACACATGAAGCGCCTGTTACATCCACGAACGTTGTGATATCGGCGTCGGTTGTGACATGTGATCGAAATGTGCAATACAGGCTTATCCCGACATGACTGATCTCGAATGTGTTGGTGCTGCCAGCGCCAGTTAAAGTCAATATATCTCCGTGGAAAACGTACCGCAGGATGCACGACATTTAACGCCGAGCAAATGCCGATAGAATTTAAGTCACTCATATATTTGGGTAGCATCTTCTAGCATCTTGATCACGTATTCGATTATCTTAACACGTATTCTACTATCTTAGGTAGCATCTTAGCATCTTGATCACGTATTCGATTCCACTTTCAGGACCAAAGAACTATGGAGATCATGACATAGCTCATAGCTGACGCCGAGTACTTGGCTAGGCCAATTTTCAATACTCCATGCGAGTAGACGGGAACGTTGGACTTGGAGGAGACAACCGCATTATATACGATCAAAGGCTGGGTGATTACCAATGTTCATGTTGTATAACGCACCATTACGGTTGGCATCTCGCTCCCAACCATGTTCTGACAGCTCTAAACAAGCGTACTGTAATGGCTGGCGCTCTGAAAGCGCGGGTAAATGCCTTGAGATTACAAAAACCATAAACACTAATGAGATGTATATCACACGCTGCTAAAAAGTAGAAATGAAGTGCAAGGAATACTGTTGTAAGCTTTGGATCTTATCGTTCAAATAACTTCAGACACCATCCACCACACCTAAAAACATTGATGTCAAAACTATCAAACCATTTGTTAAAAAACGCGTGGAACGGCTTTCAACAATCCAAGAAAGGTAGCTCAGCGCTCAATGGAGGGACACGTCACCAAAACGTTGAGCCTATGTTCTCACGTTGAACTCTGTGTTATCTTCGCCCCGAAAGTTTCATCTTACATATCTCAAAAAGCTGACACTCGAGCACACGAGCGAGCAGCCCAGGGGACGGAGACATTGACACACCGGGGTGATGAAAATCGCTCTCCCCGCGCACGGGTGACAAACGTGCCTTTTCCGTCAGCGAACAAATATGAAACCGTCTAATGGTCACCTGCAGCCGAACCTGTCAGAAACCGTTGCTATAGAACTCTAAATGCAATAAATCACAATACAAAGACAAACGGAATGCAATGCGGCATACTCATCAACCATTTTTGTTTCGGTGGTTTATTTGCACTTACGTAAAATCTGCTGGCCTTTAAGCACTGAATGACGGCTAAGAGTTACATAATACAATTGTCAGAAAAGGCATGCTGAACATAACCAGCTTGAAGGAGTGTAGTTTCTTATTCAGCTGGAGGGAATGAATTGTGCCTCCTGATCATAATTGTGCCTCCTGATCAAAAGCCATCAACACTAATGAGATGCATATCACGCGCTGCTAAAAGTCGAAATGAAGTGTAAGGAATACTGTTGCTAGCTTGAACCTCATCGTTCAAATAACTTGAGACAACCATCCACCACAGCTAAAAACATTGATGTCAAAACTATCAAACCATTTGTTGGAATAACGCGTGGAATGCTTTATTGGAGCGCTGGGCCAGCTTTCAACAATGCTGAAAGCTAGCCCAGCACTCAATGAAGGGACACGTCACCAAAACATTGGGCCTATGTTCCCACGTTGAACTCTGTATATTGTTCGCCCCGAAAGTTTCATCTTACTTATCTCAAAAAGCTGACACTCGAGCACACGAGCGAGCAGCCCAGGGGACGGAGACATTGACACACCGGGGTGATGAAAATCGCTCTCCCGCGCACGGGTGACAAAAGTGCCTTTTCCGTCAGCGAACAAATTTGAAACCGTCTAATTGTCACCTGCAGCCATATCTGTCAGAAACCGTTGCTATAGAACTCTAAATGCAATAAATCACAATACAAAGACAAACGTAATGCAATGCGGCATACTCATCAACCATATTTGTTTCGGTGCTTTATTTGCACTTACGTCAAATCTGTTGGCCTTTAAGCACCGAATGACGGCTAAGAGGTACATAATACAATTGTCAAAAAAGGCATGCTGAACATAACCAGCTTGAAGGAGTGTAGTTTCTTATTCAGCTAGAGGGAGTGAATTGTGCCGCCTGATCATGCGTGTTGTTTCTTCTTGTTATTAATCATTTGAAACCTTGTTTTTCATTCCTTATCATATTTAGGACTTAGCCCACAACAGCAATTTGAAGACACTACACTCCACATCCCGAACGGAAAAAGCGCTTGAGATGTGCGGAGAAAACTTTTTCAGTGTATTTTTGGAAGCATGCTGAGCAATTTTGTCTTGTGCCTCCCCCATCCTCCGTCCTTCATCCCGACGTATTTTGCAAAAATTTATCCCTGCAGCTCTGCATTTACAGACAGCTTGGTTCTACAAGCACCTAACAACAATATCACCCTTGGTTTGTGACGTCTTCCAGCAATCAACCGAGCGCGCAGGCGACCTACCTTACCTGCGTTAAGCACTACCGGTACAGAACTCACACTTCCTAACATGATCCGAATCATTTAGACCAAAACCCATGCAATATTGGTGACAACAGATGGGAACGACATTTTTCGACACCTCTACCACCTTCATTCATCTTTATCTGCAAGGTGATGAAACTAAAAAGCGTCTAATCTCACGTCTGTACACCGATCAGCACGCTAAGCCTGAGGTGCTACAGGCAATGTCAGAGGCCTTCAAATGTAATGCCCAGAGTCTTACCCCAAAGCCGCCGTTACCCTCAGCACCACAAAAGGTCAGGGTGTACTTTCCTACCTAACATTAGAAAAAATCATTGTACACCATTCGTCGTGTTTAAGGCATGACATATCGTAAATAATCTCAAAACAGGTAGAATCATTCTCCCACCTTCAAATTTCAATAACTTCCATGGCGGGCCCCCGAGCGCCGCGTGCACCGCACCGCCTGGACTCCCCAGCGCCGTTTCTGCGTTGCCTTGCGTAAATACAATATTTCTGCATACCAAGAACTGTACAAAATGTACGGGACCACAGTAAACCATTCGTCATGTTTAAGGCAGGACAACCATAACCTAACTGCGAACCATAAAAATATTACTAAACATAAACCATATTTACCATAACCATATTTACCATATAAACCATATTAGCCGTGAACCATACTATAAACCATAACTATAACTATAAACTATACTATATAAACCATACTATAACTATAAACCATATTTACTGCGAACCATAAAATATACCGGGACAAGGTAGCAAGAATCCATGAAATTTGATCCTCGACGCCAACGGGACCATGGGTTGCAGGGGGATTGGGTGGGGAATGTAAAGCAAAATGAGACTATGGCAGCTAAATAAAAGCTCACTATATGGCACCTATATATGACATGGAACATGGATGCCAATGAGATGCTGGGTTGAAGGGGATATAGGGTGGGGAGGTTAGGTTAGGTTAGGTTAGGTTAGGTTAGGTTAGGTTAGGTTAGGTTAGGTTAGGTTAGGTCAGGTCAGGTCAGGTTAGGTCAGGCCAGGTCAGGTCAGGTCAGGTCAGGCTAGCTTAGCTTAGCTTAGCTTAGGTTCTGGTCTATTCTCAGTTAGGTTAGGTTAGGTTAGGTTAGGTTAGGTTAGGTTAGGTAAGGTTAGGTTAGGTTAGGTTAGGTTAGGTTAGGTTAGGTTAGGTTCGGTTAGGGTATGTTCTGGACTATTCTGGCCTGCATGCTTCATAAATGTACCTAAACTCGATAAGAAACGATTTTGGTTGCTTTATTATTGTTACCTTGGTCCCGTACATGTTTTATGGTTCTTGATAAGCAGAAATATTGTGCTTTCGCAACAACGTAGAAACGGCGCTTGGAAGTCGCGGCAGTGCGGTGCGGGGCGTGCGGCGCTCGGGAGCTCGCTATCGTATTTATTAAAATTCGAGGGTAGGAGCATGATTCCATCTGTTTTGAAATTATTTACGATATGTTCCGCCTTAAACACGACGAATGGTTTACCTTGGTCCCGTACATTTTGTAGAGTTCTTGGTAAGCAGAAATATTGTATTTACGCAACGGCGACGCAGAAACGGCGCTGGGGAGTCCAGGCGGTGCGGTGCGCGCGGCGCTCGGGAGCTCGCCATCGAAGTTATTGAAATTCGAAGGTAGGAGCATGATTCTACCTGTTTTGGGTGTAGGTGTACTTTCCTACCTAACGTTAGAAAAAATCATTGCACACCATTCGTCGTGTTCAAGGCGGCACATATCGTAAATAATCTCAAAACAGGTAGAATCATGCTCCTACCTTCGAATTTCAATCATTTCGATGGCGGGCTCCCGAGCGCCGCGCGCACCTCACCGCCTGGACTCCCCAGCGCCGTTTCTGCGTTGCCGTTGCGTAAACACAATATTTCTGCTTACCAAAAACTCTACAAAATGTACGGGACCATTGTAAACCATTCGTCGTGTTTAAGGCGGAACATATCGTAAATAATTTCAAAACAGATAGAGTCATGTTCCTACCCTCGAATTTTAATAAATACGATAGCGAGCTCCCGAGCGCCGCACGCCCCGCACCGCACTGCCTCGACTTCCAAGCGCCGTTTCTGCGTTGTTGCGAAAGCACAATATTTCTGCTTATCAAGAGCCATAAAACATGTACGGGATTAAGGTAACAATAGTAAAGGAACAAAAATTGTTTCTTATCGAGTTTAGGTATATTTATGAAACACGCAGGCCAGAATAGTCCAGAACATATCCTAAACTAGCCTAACCTAACCTTACCTAACCTAACCTAACCTAACCTAACTGAGAATAGACCAGAACCTAAGCTAAGCTAAGCTAAGCTAGCCTGACCTGACCTGACCTGACCTAACCTAACCTAACCTAACCTAACCTAACTGAGAATAGACCAGAACCTAAGCTAAGCTAAGCTAAGCTAAGCTAGCCTGACCTGACCTGACCTGACCTGACCTGACCTAACCTAACCTAACCTAACCTAACCTAACCTAACCTAACCTGAGAATAGACTAGAACCTAAGCTTAGCTAAGCTGACCTACCCTACCCTAGCCTAACCTAACCTAACTAACCTAACCTAACCTAACCTAACCTAACCTAACCTAACCTAACCTAACCTAACCTAACCTAACCTAACCTAACCTAACCTAACCTAACCTAACCTAACCTCCCCACCCT